GAAAACACACAGAAACGGTCTGAAAACCGAGCTGTCCAGCCACACAATCGTTCAACGTGAGCGACGAAGAGACAGAAAGAGGGCTGTGAGTCCTCTGTGCTCTCCCTCCTCCTGTCCCCTGGATCCACCACAAATCAGTCATTAAAATTTATGCCACCTCTGGATGAGAAAGGACTGCAGGAAAAAAAAAAAAAAAAAGAGACTGATAGTCCATGAAAAGAGTGATGTGAGAGAGGACAGGGGGAACGAGACAGGCAGAGAGAGGAGGAGGTCCCAGGAGGTGGTCCACTTTTGAGCGGCTTCATCTCAAACTCTGGTCAGAGTCTTTCTGCTGCTGCCTAATTCATCCCATCACCATCCCCTTTATCGTCCCATTTCCCTTTCTCCTCTTTCACCGGCTATTCCTCACCTTCTCTCAATGATATACATGCATATATAAAAAGGATATCTCTTAATGCTGACTTTGCTTCAGAGTCACACGCGGGCAGCCGGAGCGTTTCTTTCTCTGAATACAAAACTAAATGAACAACAGATGTTCTGCGCTCTGGAATCACACTGATAAAACTCACTCTCCTATTTTTTTTTCCAACTCTCTTTATTCCTTTTGTCTTTCTTTCTTTTCCCTCCTTTAACACATCTCTTGCTCCTAGTTTCTGTCATTTCTTTCTCTCCTCTTGTTTTCTTTGTTTCGTCTCTGCTCGTACTTCTCTCCCTCTCTGGCAGGGCGCTGATACTGCAGTTGAGTTTGGACGGGATACTTTGGCTGATCTCTTTCAGGTTCTGGTACACTGGTTCCCAGTGTCCCGCACGCTAAACGCCACTCATAAATCAAACCCCGGCGAGTAGCTCTGTGCGCGCCCTCGCCAGCGTGAAGCCACATCGGCACTTCCTCTCTCTCTCGTTGCGCTCACGAGGACCGTCCGGTGACAGCCGCTAACCTCAACCACATGCCCGGCACCGAATCGAAACGTCAACCACAAGCCTTCATTTTGTTCCTGAAACTCTTTGAAGCAAACAACAAAATTAAAAACAACCTTTCCCGTCTTGCTGGCCATCTTTCACGCCTCATTACACCCTCGTTTTTAATAAAGCAAAATGTATATTCCATCAAAATCTCATTACTTTTAGTTCCTTCAAAGCGTCTTCTGTGATTATCTCCGCGTGCACCAGGAGGCATAAATAAAAACTCCAGCCCGTAAAACTTTCACATATTTCTAAACAACGCCGCCTCACAAATTAAAGCTTGATTTCAGCTAATTAAATGCCCCCTCTCTTCACAATAATCCATCTCAACAAGAAAGTAAGATTAACCACTTCGCGCTTACCTCTGTGGAAAAGAAGCAAAATCCACCTGAAAGCGCTGAGCGAGACCTCTTATTAAAATGTTTTATTTTAATTATTTCGTCAATTCCAAAAACAGCGCAACAACTACGAGCTGTGGTTTTGCAAAGGCTTATTTATGGGACTTTTCCTTGGCTGGACTTCTCGCAGTCTTGTCATGACTGTGAGGTTTCCAGACAACCAGCTGTTTCCAGGCTATATGCTAAGATAAGCTAACCCACTCGGTGGAATCAGCTGGCCGTCTGGCAACCTCAAAGTCACAAGACTTCAAGAAGTCACGGTGCTCGGCAGAGAAACTGGCAGGAAAGCGTGTTTTCACAAAAACCTATTCCTTTGTAGTCCTAAACCTAAAACACGCCGCAGAAATGTCACAGAAAGGCTGAACACACGGAGAAAACAATGATTTAAATACAAGAACCGCAATATCAGCCGCTTTCATATGAGCAAACACAAGAGAGTGCACAGAAACATGTATTTAAAAAAAAAAAAAAAATCCCATTAGCCTCTGTCCGTGCAAGGGCAGGGAAAGTAATATGTCTGGGTGGCCAAGCAAGAGATATGCAATAATTCCAGGTCTGCACATTTTCAAGCCGTCAAAATAATCTATTGGAAGCCGGTTGGCGGTGGAAGTGTTGCTCTGCCTCTGCGTCTGTGTATGTGACAGGCTAAATGCAGCGTGCTGTCAGTCTGCAGCGAACTCCGCACACAACAGTTTACAACCAACGTACACAGAGGTAAAAAAAAAAAAAAAAGACATCCGGTGAGGTGATGTAGCAGCAGGTTGTACATCAACCACACAGGGACACGCAAAGTCCTTGACTGTCAGGAGAAGAAAATAGTACCTTTAACTGGCCCGGCTCCTCCCTCTCCTTTTCAGCCCTTTACTGCATCCATCTATCTGTCTACCTATTCATCCATCCATCTGTCCATCCAACCGCCCATCCATCTTTCTTCCCTATTTTGCCAGACAGCGCGGCGCACTGCCGCGTGATTGAAACGCATGCAGCCGAACATCACTTCTGATTTTATGACACGGGCTTAAAGACAGAGAGAGGGAGCGAGGAATGAATGGAGAAAATATGGGCGATGATTGACCTGTTGCTTGGTTAAAGTCGGCACAGAACTGTCACCGCCGATGATTGCCTTGTATTTATCACGCTGATTCTGTTTATCGTCTCACGCTTTTATGCACAGTGCTGTTTCATGTGGCGCATGGCTGTTTTTGTCCATCTGTCCAGAGACGTATCGCAGCTTTGCACCTATGATGGACACGAATCGAGAAAAAAAGAAAACATCTGGTCGTGAATTGCTCTGGATTTCTATACCTGGACTATACCGCTACTTTCCTCCGCCTCAACGCAAAGGTCAACCAAGCCCATTGTCCTATAGCTCGCAATTTTAAAGGAAGATCTGACCCCAAAAGATAATAAATGTCTCCCGTGGCCGCGCTCCATCTCTCCACTAAGTTTCATGAAATTCGGCTCGGTAGTTTTTTATTAATCCTGCTGGCAGACAAACAGACTAACGGCACTGAAAACATGACCTTGGCCGATTCTCTGGCCCCCTTGGCGGAAGTAATAACGTCTCTCTCTCTCTCCCTCGACAAATATACATAAATAAAAACACTCCTATTGTGCCGTCATCGACTGACAGGAAGTTGTGATGCAACACAGAAAGAGTACGATCTCCACCCGGCTTCCTTCTCTGCTTTCCGAACAAGCAACCATCTGGTAATAACATCAGTTTACGGGATAAAGCATTCACTAGTTGACTACAGCATAAATACCAACCTGCATATTCCAACCAGTTTAAATGCTCTGTTTTGTGATTCTCATCTTCAACATCAATGCTAACACTCCTTTTTTTTTTTTTAAATGTGCTTCATGTCTTGGTGCTCCTCCTGCCTCAGTTATCTATCCATCTATTATCCATCCATCCATCAATATTTTCTAACAGCAGGGTTTACAAGTGTGTGTGTGTGTGTGTGTGTCAAACGGATTCCTTCCAGTTCACAGGAGCACAGAAGTATATCATAATTTTCGTTTTCAATCTTCTGATCCGCTGCCTCTTCCTCCTCCACGCTGCCTCCTCACCAACAACCAAACTCTTCGAGGCCAAAGTCGACCACTCATGAATAAACAGAATGGATGCACTCTGCGGGTCTCAAATGGGCCCGGCTAAAATGTTCTACTAAAGGCTCAGATATTCATCGTGTCGGCATTGTGCGTTCGTCTAATTCTAGATTAGCGGTTGATCATCGAGGGGACGTGGCTCCAGCGGGTCAATCTGATCCGGGCGGTCCTGAACAACGCACTTGAGGGGTGAGAGGAGATATGAACATTATTGCTTCTGCACCTGCTCGGTTGCACCGTTATTGACGGAGTTACAAATCTGTCCTCCGTGACCGCGAGTTGGAGAACTAATAACGTCTTCATGCCGCCGTGCCCACCCATGTGCTTTCAGACTGACCAAACAGCACAGTGGCTGAGCTCACTAATTAGTACAACTTCTTCTGGAGAAGAATTAGCAGCTGAAACCTCCTGCTGCTGGAGTGTTTGATTAAAAAGCAAATCTGCACAGTTTTGTTCCTTTGTGGTTCATTATTATAGACAATGAATCACATCGGGCAGAAAATTAGCGCTGCATCATTAAGGGGCTGAAACTTTGATGTCTGCTTAACTTTTGGAAACGCCCCAATCAGTGATGAGACAACTGGTGTTTTTCCATAAACTCTTAAAACAAAAGCTCTGCTGTGATGTAACTCATTGGGGTGCAGCCAGAAAAGCAAAGTCAACAAAAAATGTAATTACAGTGTAGTACTGCTCTCTGTGATAAAGTGTTGACTGGCCCTTGATTAACCAAAGCCAAGTCCTTGATAGATTATGAAGCTCAACACTTCCCTCCTTTATTTCCCCGTTTAGTACCCAGTAACTCAAAATCATCTTATTATCAGTAATTGTTTTGGGCCTTTAGTTCATTTTTTTTGGCTTCATTTCCATAAACTTCACCATCATCTTTCATTTTGGTTCGTGGCAGCGTTGCTCTCATCCATGTTCGACACCTTCATTTAAGAACTGGAGTCACAACAGAGCCGACCGTGATCTGGTGTAAAGCAGAGAGCTGTCGGACACGGTGAAAACAATTTCCCACTTTATTTGTGCTTCTCGCACATATTTGCGAGCTTTCAAACCCACTAAGCGCGCGGTGCTGTTTTGCTGTTCGGGTGCTTTCCAGAGGCTCCAAAGAGCACTTTTATTCTGAAGGATGAGCCGGAGAAACAGATGCAGTAAAACATGGTTATTGTCCCCAATATGTGCACAAATGTCAACAGCAATGCTGTAAAAAATACAGTTAGAGGCACTCGCACGGGCACTTGAAATGTGGCCGACAGTTTTAAAATTCAGATTGTTGATTTTCCTCCTCACGCTAAATGCTTGAGTCACAGCATTTAAAAAAAAAAGAAAAGGACATCCTATAATATGATATCACTACCGCAGCATTAGGATATATACGACTTTTAAAGGAAGTCAACAGCAGCAGTAAAGCAGCTTAGACTGAGCTCAGAGTCAACTTTCACCTGATGGCTGTGGTGACACTTGTGAGCTGTAACAAGTGTAAACTGGGTGTTATTCCTGACTGACTGTGTGTGTGTGACTTACTTGAAACCAGGCGAGACCGTGGCACAGCTGCTCGACTTGAGCCAAATGCAGTAAGGGTCCCGCGAAGACAAACAGCTCCTGTGTAGCAGACAGACAGACGGGCAGCCGGTTAGTGATGGAAGGAACTGAGGAGAACAGTAAGTGTGAAGAACGTCGGGTCGGGCGGATGTGAGCTTCTAATGAAACGCCACAAACATCACTTTCCAAAACTCTGCCTCGACAAAAAGTAGAGAAAGAAAGTCCGTGTACAGCTGGGTGCATAACCTATGATGGAGAATTTAGCATCCCAGCAGGCAAAGCCAAACAAACGCCGTCCAATCCAACATGAAATTGCTGCATTTCTTTTTCATTAATCGCAGCGTTCACAGCTACAAAATAAAACTGCAGCATAAATCTCTATATCAACTCCTCACGCAACCCCCTTTTTATGCAAATTGGCTTCTTTGTTTAGGAAATCTGCTGACCTACAGAGATGTGTGAGATTTAAATATATCATAACTACCTTTTTATGGCTGGATAATGACACGTACTTCTTTCAACATCACCATTTCTGCAGTGCGATTAAAATGTATAATTAGCCGTGTTCAGTCACAAAAATGGACTATCAAGCATCCCGACGTTATTTTCCACAACAGAGATGAATGTAGATAATCACAAAACGAGACGCGAGTTAGATCACAGTCAGATTAGTTTTTGATTAGATTGCAGATTATGGACTTGTTTTTGTTTTGCTACAGAAATGAAGGGATAAAAAAATAAAGGGCATGTTTTGTGCTCGTCTGCGTTTCTTACAGGCTTTAAAGTTCCAACCTGCGTCTGTTTGGACCGTACGGATTACAGGCATAATTGAAAAGTTTAACTTGGACAAATAAAACGTTTATTTTTCCATAAACACCGGCGGCGTGAAAACAAACCTCGAACAAAATTAGAAAACTTCAGATTCTATGATCAGCAGCGTTCCGCGTTGTCCCAGTTTGCAATGTTGATTTTAGCAGGAAGATAAATGACGGATTCTGTCCTTAGTCGAAATTTAAACAAAAACAAACAAACAAAATTGCAGCAAAAAAAACAGAATTGTAATTAGAAATCTGGGCCTTCCATGTATTGCATCCCTTCACACATTTAAAACTTAAGTTGCTCTTTAACCTTCTGAAGCCCAGAACCTGTCAGTGGGTTTGAGCGGCGTATTATCTTTTAAAAAATTGCACCATTTAACAGAGGCAGAAACTGTAAAAAGCAGAAATGATATTCTAACCTGTGACATGTCATGCCAGTCATTAACTAGACCAGCGGTTCTCAAACTTTTTGAGCCACAACTCCCAAGATAACTTAAGTTTGTGTTTGTAACTCCCCCCCAGTTTGAATTTTTTAGTATGGCATGAGCAATAACTTTGTTGTTCATGCATTAAAAACTAATGTGTTAATTCCACAGATTAATCTCTTTACAGGAACACATTAATTTTCTTTTAAATGAATGAATTGGGTTTATGTCAAACAAATGAAAGGGGAAAAAAAACATAAAAACAAAAGAAAATAATTTTAAAAAAGAGCAAAAGAGAATAACAATGTGGCATAATCAAATCATGATATTAACAAGCTTCAAAAAAGGCGTGGGAAGAAGTATACACTTTTAATTCTGACAGCCCTAATACACATTTTATTTGATAAATGTAGGCTTTATTTTTATTTATTTTTACAATGATCTGGCGACCCCCTGAAATGATCATGGGACCTCCATGGGGGTCCCGACCCCCAGTTTGAGAACCACGGAACTAGACTGTAAAAAAAACGGTGTCGATACGAATAAAAACGTAAACAGGAAAATATCAATAGTATGGAGAGTTTTTCCAGGACGGGGGGACATTTGTGGGCACAAAATGTACGTGTTGATTACAGAAACTCAAATTTAGTTTCTTCTGTTTTCTGAATTAAGGCCTCATAACTTTATCAGCTGCACCTTCAGCTCCAGCCGCGGCCGTGCTGTTGCCATAGCAGTACAGGACTTTATCTTGCAGTGAAAAATGAGGGCAGAGAAAGTAAAAAAAAAACATGACAAAAAACACCACAAGGGTTCAGAGGGTTAATAACGTGTTCTTATTACAGTTGCCTGGTGATGAACAATCACTGTCATGGATGCTGCAGCAGTTTACATCCGGACTGTACCTTTAAACCAGGATCTCGTCTACACGGCTGACGACGGCCGGAGAAGAGCAACAACACCACCGGTCCCGTGTTAGCAGTCAGCAGACGGGCTAATCACCTGATTTTACTTACTGCGCCGTATGTCAGCTTCGTGATTCAGTGAATTACACGATGAGCGGATCCGTTTTACCTCCTTCCCTTTAAAGCGGTCAGCATTAGGCGCTATCAATAGCCGTTAATCTCGCTCCTGATGGTATAACATCCCAGCAGAAGCACAACATTCATTCCTCCCCTCACTTCAGTTTTGTCGACGAAACCCTTCCGCTGATCTGCCATCAGCCCCTCCGCCTCGGTTTGATTCAAGTCTGTCGATTTTAATCCTTCACTTTGGAACGAGCCGCGCAGATCTCATGTCCTTCATTGTGCCGCTGTGCAATCGCAAAACAAGCCCGGGTGTCAGTGGGAGATGAACAATGCCTTTCAGAACTTTTGAGAGTCTGCGGTATTCACCCAGCAGCGCCAACAACACAACGAGCCTCAAGTACACGGTGACAAAAGAAGAACAACAAACAGCGCTAATGTTTTCTGTGTTGTTTTCCGCCTCTTATGCCGAATAACACCGTCAGAGGTAAAAGTAAACAAAGATAAACCAGATTGCTGGCTCTTGGTGCAGCGTCACGTCAAACCGAAACCTTCAAGGCAGTCAAGGAAGCAGTTTTAATGAGGATCCTGTGACCTGTTTTAAACATCTAAAATTATTTACGACTCCCTAAACCGAGCGTGCAGGTGTGTGCGTCCTGATCCCCAGTCTGTAGGAATCGTGGAGAAATCCCACTGAGAACATATCGACTCCAGAACAGAGGAAAGTCAACATAGGAACTTCTCTCCCCCCCGCTACGCCTGCAGCTGGCAGCCGAGTCTAAGTGCATATATATGTGTCAGAGTGTTACACAAACTCTGTGTTTATGCAACTATTCTTCAAACTTGTTTCAATGGGAAAAAAACAAAAACAAAAAGAAAAGCAACTACCTGAACTGGGTTGGATAAGCCACCACAGAGAGACGTTCAGACTAACTTAAAACTTCTAATAAAAGTAACAAGAAGTCGTCCAAAAAAGACGATATACAAGTTGTATGAGTTGAAAACAACTTTCTGAGCTGATGCCCTTATCAGCATTATTGTCAGCAGGGATTTCTGTGCTATGTCGACCCATCCATAGACCCTGAGCTCCTCCTCATGTGCACTTTGAGCCTCTCCAGACGTCGTACAACTTCTGCTGTTCTTGTCAAATAAATGCAAACATGCGTAGCTCCTTTCAGCATTTTCCCAAACACTGATATTGTTTTTCTTTTCCTCTTGGGAGAACGCTGTTACGCAAACGCTCTGCATGTAAGTTTAGTGGAGCTCAAGTAGTTTTAGTTATTTGCGAATTTATCAATTCCAACAGCGTATTTGTGTAACAGAACATGTCCCGTGTGGTGTTAATCAGGCTGCGGTAATGAGGATGTTTTTGTGATGAGCATAAGCAAACATTGTTTTTGTGACAAACAAAATAAAATAATTTTAACACCGTAAGTGTCAGCGTTAAGGAGAAATTATGTGCAGCACAGATGCAAACAATATACAGAAGGGCTGCACATTTTTAAATTTTCTTTACCAACAGTCGATCAGGCTATCAATCATCCTTTAATCTATAAAACTAAGTTGGCACACTGAATATTTTACTGTTATGCTGATAAATCAGTTTTTTTTAACCACAGACAGTAGTTCAGTCAGATACAGAAACATGTCCGGGTAAATTTTGACTCATTCTCAATAAGTGAGCTGGCTAGAAGCCATAATGGTGGCTAGATAAACCCCCACAGCTCTCGCTGCTTGCCAACATGATATCGCTTGTAGTCCGAGCAACTGCCTCCTCACAGCGATATTAAATTAGTATAAAACAAAGCAACGAGCTGCAGCCTTCAATTGTGACTGAAACTCCACTTGGTGGTGCAACTAGGTACTACACCTCATGTCAAAAACAATCTTAGATCAGTTAAAGCATTAATGGAAATTTTTCAATTAATGATTAATGATGGGCTGCAAGGTGGCTCAGTGGTTAGCATCGTTGCCTCGCAGCTAGAAGGTCGTTGGTTCGAATCACCAATTAACCTCAGCATGTTTTTGGACTGTGGGAGGAAGCCGGAGAACCCGGAGAGAACCCACGCTGCACGGGGAGAACATGGAGACTCCACATAGAAAGATCCTGGGTGTCCTTACCAGGACACGAACCGGCGACTTTCTTGCTGTGAGGCAACGATGCTAACCACCGAGCCACCTGGCAGCACATGATTAATCATTAATTGAAAAATTTCTGTTGATAATTGAACTGATCTAAGATTGTTTTTAAAAAGAGGTGTAGTATCTGGTTGCGCCACTAAGTGGAGTTTCAGTCACGATTGGAGACTGGCCCCCCATGACCCTAGTGAGGATTAAGACATGTATAGATAATGCATGGATGGATATCAAAAACAAATCTGAACAGCGAGTGGTGCTGCATGCTTTGCTCTGTTGCAGTCCCGTATTTTCCTTGTGAATCTTAAAACTGGGGAATCAACACCTCAGCATGCGTAGGAAGCAGAAAATCTAAACTTGAGAGAAAACAAACTTTCTTTTCATCACAAAAACAATGTTTTGACCCCAAAAAATGTGTTTTGTGCTTTGTTTTTTTCACACCATCACAGACTGAGGACCTAAAGTGACTCACACCCCTTTGTGCGACTGCCCATTATAACGCTGCATAATGCTGCTTTAATAAATCATTCATGCCTTAGCCATAAGGTATATATGCAGCTCTTTCCAGCTCCCCCTTCATCACAGACATTCATCTACACCTACATGACAGGAACGGACCTCAGCACGAAAGCACTGGGAAAAGAGGCTATTTGGGTCCA